CCAAGAAGGGTATTGATAACTGGCTATGAGTTTCATCAAGCAAAAATGAAATGCAACGAAGAAACACGGGGTGGCTGTATCATTTGGAGACATAGGAAAAGCGACCCTTCTGGAAAAATTAGCATAAAATTTTTCGGCTCTCTATCCTGGAATTATGTCTTGATTTTTGGATTCGAGATCGAATTTGACACATTTTTGACAGTTACTCAGTAACTCCGAGGAATACGAGATTTTGAACAATTCCTAGGTGGCAGAATCATTAGATTCATTAGATCATTAGATATCACCCAGTATCATTAGATCATTAGAAATTTTGAGCAAATTCTAGATGACAATATCATTGGCAGCTCAGGTGGCAGTAAGCTCGAGCAGACTAGCGGTGAAGGATCTTGCTGCTCTCGACGACAATGAATTGAAATGTTAACCTTATCGCGTATCTAGATAACAACTTCAGTGACCCTTACGCTGTCAAGCTAGTCGTTTCTGTCCGCAGTTATCGACTGCTGTCGCTTTTGGCACCCGCCAAACATGTTCCCATATTACCCTTCACGCCGTATAGAGTCAGCACTTCATCTTTGCTATGCAGCGAGCGGCTACTTCTGTGTCCTTGTGTTCTAGCGTCCCGTCTTTACCCCCAGTTATCACCTCCAATCATCCATTACCCATGTCCTTACAACTCCACATCACACTTGTAAGTCAGGATGATGAGATGTCAATGCGAATCGCGTAGGTGCATCGGCGAATTTAGCGCGCGCCAGCCTTTATCAGTTGCTACTTTCAATCACCTACCAAGTATATTTACCCGTCTCATAACACTTCAATGACAACAGGAACGACAAAACGGAATTGGTGACACTTGATTTCTACCACCTTATCAGGTCTAATCATCGTTATCAAGCAGGCCTCATCAATCGCCGGAAATCCTTGCTTTTTAAGAGTTTTCCACCTAAGCTGCTCGATGCTCTCGCTCTTGCCCTCCACGATTGAAGTTGAGGTCAAAGGCACCCTTGAAAAGATGCACATAAGTGAGGAGTACAGCGTCACAATAACGTCGATCAGAAAGCATTCCGCGATCAGGAGTTGGGAGGTTGGTACGCCCTTGCAACTTATCCCCACACCATATCGAATGGACTATCAAAACAATCATGTTGAACGATGGTCTGGGTGCATTACGTGGTCCTGTCTCGCCACATGCGTTTAAGTCCAAAATCACTACTTGAATCCAATTCCAATGGGCTCGAGAGAATGAGCAATTAAAACTCAAATTCTTTGTGTTGTATGCTTCACTGCTGATGAAGAATTTATCAAGTCCTTATATGTAGGTGCATACCTTTCACTTTTAGCCATTATCAATGAAAAAATTTCAGAGTTTTACTTTTGGTACAACTGCAGCAATCCAAGCTCAGGTTTTCATTACAAAGACGTGAGTGTTTTGTGTAAGAGCTTGCCAATAGTAGCAGTGTTCTGCCGAAGCTTTATCAAATAATTCGATGAGCGACTGGATTCTGCGATTGCTGAGCTATTGGTCGGATTCTGTCCATCCAGTGCGACTTTGAACTTAATTTGAAGTATGTTCAGTTCATGCACATTGCATCGAATACCCTTCCACTTACCATGATCGCAATGTATATAATCGTGTATGTGAAGATTAGGCATGCAACTGGTGGCGGCATGAGAAGCGAGGCCGTTCGTTTCAAGCAAGAAATCAAATATTTTATGCAGGTGAATTCGTTTTCCGAATATCAGAGATAAGGCAATTCATATGTGCCAGCACAACTAAATAGTAAATGAAGTCATCTTAGCCATATGGGTGAGAACACGAAAAAAATGCTCAAAATGTAAGCGTGATGGTTAAGAAACGCATAGATGAGCATCATCGCTCCTCACTCGAACAACTTGCTGGATGCCTGCACAGTGAGCACTGTTTCATATGCTCACCCTCTTCGTATTAAGAGACAGGCAGAACTGCAATAAGAAAAAGACGGATCAAAAAAGAAAGTAATCTGCTTCAATGGAGATCGTTTCGCGGGTCTGACCTTCCCAGGTCCATCATCGTCTAATTGGCTTTTTAAAGGACGAATTCACGCTGAAAAAGGCAACCCATTTCAAATTAACTAGGGATGGTGAGTGGTACACGAAAGAAGGAAGAACCATGAGAAACGGCCCAGAACCCGAGAAATGGGACCCCTTCCTTGCCCGTTGATTTGAGCATTGATGCGACTCTCATCGCTGTGCCCTCTTCAACACTACGCTCTCTCTGCTATCTAATCACTCGCCACGTATAGACTGCGGCGAGTGATCAGATGATCGGTGGGCGGAGATCGCCAGACCCGCCAACTTTGAGGCATAATAGGTCGCCGAGGTCAAATTTTTCGATGCGAATTGCGCATCAGTTCGCACCCTCAGGAGGTCCGTGGGTCCCTCAACTAGGTCAATTACTTCTTCTTCGACCTCATTCTAATCGTGAATTCCTCCTTTAAACATGGAATTCAAGTAGAAAAGACGGCACGAGGACAATAAGCCCTGTAGTCGTTCTCCACTTTCATTTTATGGAATTTGTGAGGGCCTAGCCTCCAATCACCATAGCAGTTCGTACCTATTATGGCGTTGAATTCGCCTACAACACTTATGGCAGCTCTCTTCTGGGGTAGTCAACTCCTGCAGTTTATTGAATTCTTTACGTTCTTCATATGTGGCCGCAAAGGTTGGTGGGTACCCGTTGATGGTTGATATTACATCCTGAGCTGTGGTCTGAAGACGTAAAACTGCAAGGCGTGGACTGACGAGTTGTGATATTCTATAAATAAGCAACTGTGGAATTGACGAGGAATCCAACTTCGCCGACATTCATGCTGTCCACCGATGATAGATTGTGGTCAGATTTTTTGGTAGTTTCCGTTCTGACTTTCGTCTCTTGTCTCATTTCTCTCTTCCTCTCGTCTCTCTAACATCATATTTGATCAATCGACTTCTAAGCCAAAGTTTCCGTAGCTCTCTTCCGGATGCTATAGTGCGACAGTTATACGAGCAGGATAAAGGCAGTCCTTGTGTCGTGGTATGGGAGATTTCCGAGGTTCCGATTCCGATGACGTCCTGATTCCCTTGCGAGATTAGATGGCCCCTCACCAGCAGAGGCTGCCCCCGACGTTGAAGGGGAGCTTATCCGGTGTGCAGGACTAAGGCTCTGAGCAAATGGGTTGGCTTGGTTACTCCCTTGTTCCTTGCTAGGGATACAAAAGAGCCGCCCATACACATATAGTAATGCGTACTGCGTAGCCGTTTGTACCGTTAGCCAACCACTTATTATCAGTGGTGTTTCAGACTATTACCGCGATGAGGTGGTACCTGATAGCACGCAAAATATTAGCAATGAAAAATTCATCGAAATTATGAAAATGGGAACGTAAGTATATGTTGTGGCTATTTCAGACCGTTTTGATAAGTGTTCTAATCATCGTCGAAATGATAGCATTTATTATGATACCCTCCTTAGAGGTTTACGGCTATGGTCGATTCTACTTGAATATACTTACAAATCTAATTATTGTGTCTAACAACCTTATCACTCCAATCGTTATATTCGCTTTCAACATGGAGGTTCGAGAGCGCTTACATCAAAAGCCTTCATCTCAGCACCCTACTCTTGTACGGGCCGCTACCACGATTCACTGAGTGAAACATTCTTCCAATTAATTATGATGCGCTGGAGGACGGCTCTCTTCCATGCTATGAAAAGACGGTGGAATACTCTCGTATTGCTTTTATTTGTGAACGTAATGGATTCTATATTGTAGACAGGAGCATTTGTTGTCGACGCTCAACACAGCCATACGCTGCTAATACTGCTCATTCGTCTACATATGAGTTACACATCGGAAATCTCGATGAATTCATATATTACTGTTTCTTTGAGAAATAGAAAGTAGAAAAAAGTAGAAACGTCGTCGCAAGGCAGCCATTTCACTTATTTTCGTCTAATTATCGTTGTTGTTGGTTTCCGTCTTGCTTACTGATTGATCAAGAAGTTGTGTGAAGATTGCTGTGACACGCTTACACCATTAGGTCTGCACTTCACAAATAAATTAATTTACATTGAAAAGTTGCCATGTAATAATGTTGCAATGAACCATGCCAATTCTTTGAAAATTGTTAAATAATCGCAAATGTCACGTCAAATATTTCCTAGGTTGCGATGCTTTCAGCTTGTTTTTGGAACCACAATATTCTCATAAAGTGTACTGAAGGCAGATCGGAGTAATCGTGGAAGATCTTTGTGCTATATGGCCAACACTTTTCGACAGTACGGAACACTTGATTGATGTGCTAAATATAGGTGTTATCAAAAGGAAATTTCATCTGCTTGGATAGGCTCAAGAGGTGATTGCATCAAGCAGGATGAAGCGACTCACTGGAATACTCATGTTCGTCAGCCTATGTGATGAGATGCGAGGAAATTATCATAACCGGTTCCTTCTGGAAAGTAGCTGCATCACACATCACGCTACTAGCCATTAATAGAATCCCGCAGCAACAGACCAGACTTGACTCTTATCACCCTCCGTATGTAGAAGACAGATGTTGGCGACGACACCGCGAATGGGATGGAGTGTTCCCTTATAGATTCTGGATATGAAATTCGACGAACCCTCCGCTTTCAAACCAATCGTTCTTGTCTATTTTTATCACCCGCCATATATATGCCATATATTATATGTGTGCCCTCCCACCCTCTTCCTCACATCTTTCAGAAGGCTCTGGGAAAACTCAAAAAAATGAAGATTCATCCAAAACCTGCTCTTCGGCCTAATATTATTACAGCCCACTGGTTTTCTGATGTATTATAATTGTCTCCCTTAACAGATAGGTAATAAAGAGTGAAAAACGTGGTATGATTTCAATCATGAATTGACCAACAGAACACAATTTTGACCTCACGCTCGATCGTACTCATTCCAGCGATTTTATTGCTTGACAAAACAGGTAATGTGTGGTGTATCCTACATAACATTGGTGACTATCAGAGTAGTGATCTTCTGAGGTCTACTAGCGCTTGAGAAAACATAATAACGTATATCCGAATTGAAGGAGAGTACAACAATTGGGGTTATAAGATTATTAGCAATCACAATCAGATTCAACAGAATATTTAAATAAAATTGGCCGTATCCGCCGACATTCAGAAAAGGCACCGTAACAAACGCCGCCACTTCGACAATGATCAGGATGCCTATCAACACTGTCTAAAATGAAGATTATATTGTGCATTCATGAGTTGCCAAGTAGTTCAAAGAATCCTCTTGGATTTTTTCCCTCGTCCTTTTGAAAAACTAAAGTTACGCCCTGTTGTGACATGTATGAGACTCAATGAGTCCTCTTAGGGCATAGATGTGAGTGCATCTACGTAACGGAGCTATATTGCTAGGCTTGCAGTTGCCGAGACCTTTCTATACCGATTTTTTCTATACGAGTATAATATTGTGTTGATGCAAGATGCTCTTTTACAAATGAAGTATAAAAGCAGAACGCAATGCGAATGATCAAGCAAGTGCTGCTTTGCTTCTTACAACCTCTTCAGCCATTGATTTTCATTTGGGAAATCACCTGCGTAAGATATCTGACTTCGTGTTTGAAAAGCACCACATCGCTTCTCATGCCTCCTTGTAAGGAAGTCTTAATCTTCACAAATACAATCGCGTACATGACGATCATAGCAGCAGGAATTAAGTACGACTGGATGTCCATGAACTGCAAAATGGTTCAAAATACATTTTCTTCGGTATACAATATTTCCATATCAACATTATCGGTATCGTAAGCATGTAAAGCAACACTTACGTCGTTGTAATGAAATTCTCCTGAGACTCTGTTACTGCAGTTGTACCAGAAGTAAAATTCTGAAATAAGCACAATGTGCATAATGCGCAAAACGACATTTCAATCCGGGCTATATTATTGTTATTATTTTTATCTTGTTGCCCATCTTCACATACTCATTGAGGAGGCCATACATCCACGTAGCGAACTAGCGCATTTATGTGGTCTCTGGTTGCTCAGAGGGAGCCTGGCACCTTGTCGTCCAACCAAGTTCTCCTGTATCTTTCTGTCCATCACGCACACGTGCCAAAAGCGTCTTTGAAGAAACGCTAGCAACATGTTAAACGATTCGCCACGACCTCCTAAGGTCACTCTTGCACTTTAACTTTCATCTATGAAGACATGTAAAGAATCTACAAGAAGCTAATTCCTGGTCACCGTGAGGAAGAAATATCAGGAAGCCGCTTGCACAATGCAAAGTCCTTACATTGACAAGACTTTTGCCATGAGCTTGCTGAAAACCCACCAAACACTTTTGTACATCGGGTAGCATTATTTTTGCCTATTATCCACATGACCGCTTCTATCGCAATAAAATCGACTATCTTTATTATAGCGTGATAAAAGCACATCGTTTCCACGTGCTCAATGACTGCATGATTGTTTGGATGAAGGTCATCCATGCGAATCTTCTCCAAGCTCCTATTATTGCCACGCTTCATCTAGCCGATCAAGCTAGTATAGCTGGTTTGATTTTTATGAACATTTTATGACAAGTGACTGTCGCCCACTTTGATCCTATTTGAGGACATCGTGGTCATAGTGATCTTTTTGAAGCGATTTGTTTGTGTCCGAAGAAGCTGCAGGTGAAGATCGAGTATTCAGCTACAGTTAAAAGATTCTTTCAGTATCTCGTTCCAACATGCCCGCACAACTGCAGTAGGAGATTCCCTAGTAGCGCAATTGCATGGAGCACCTGGAAACGGAAGAGCACGCAAACGACATATCCATTCGGAAGATGGGAGGTATTTTGTATTGCCACCCAATGGGTGGAGGTCGTTTAGTGATAAAATATGTAAAATATTCTGCCGGTAATATTAGGTTTTTCCTTCATATGAGTCAGTATCTGTTGCTGCCGCTCATAAACATGTGTTAAGCTTCCATCGGTAAAAATTTTATACGAAGATCCCATCTGTACAAAACCTACATTTTATGAAAAAAAAAAGATTACACTCAACGTGGTTAACGCTTCTTCAGACTGAAATGAGATAAAAGTGTGGGTATTTTCAGATAACAAGCCAAAGGCTCGTTTAATTTAATGCTTCCAATTTCGCACGCTATATGTGCAGGAAACACGGGTCACAACTGCTAACTAAGTTTGCAACCACTAGTTTGGTTTCGACCGCATTCTGGACAAATGTTCCTCATTGAATAAACTTCTGTGACAGTCACTTCTGTAACTGTGACACTTACTTAAACTAACACTACGATTACTTACTGCTATGGGTATTTGTGCCGTATGGATCCCATCCTACATAAGTATCAGCAAGGGAGGTAAAGGCGTTTTATGCAGAAAAGCTCCTGACTAAAACACTTGGCAGCGTATTCTGAAATATCAATAACAGGTTTGTCGAACTAACCGTCTTTGGAAAATTGTTTGCGACACCCGAAAACGTTCGATAATCCAATGAACACGATCACATAAATCCAAACTGTCAAGGACGTTCTGAACAGATACATTATTCTTACTAGCAAAACCAGGGAGCAATATTAATTCAACGTGATTTAGTTTTTTATTTGATCGTTTGAACACAAGTAAGCTTCTTGCCAGCTTGCGCACTTCTGCAGCAATCGAAAACAGGGTTCCATTGATGACTCGTCTTCCCGATTCGGAGTTTCTCCTGAATTCGTAATTTGCACTTGTGCTCTACTGTAACTTACATCCTTGTGCCCCAGTATGTGAAGACTTTATTATGCACACGCGGAAATATAAATAAAAGGAATCGGTTGGTACTCAGAAAAAATGATAGCAGAAATAAACCATTGAATGCGACTCCTTCGAAAACTAGTGGACCGTAGTACAAGGTTATACTGTCGCCCATGTACTGAAACAACAATGATTTGAAAAAAATAGAAGTGCTAAGGATTATTGGGAAAAGACTGTGAATAAGGTCACAGTATTGCCAACGACAATACCATGGTTCAGGTGATTTCGAAATGTATCTAGAAGGGCAGCAGGTTTATGATCTGGAATATAAAAAGAAGATAGTGTTTAACAAATTTAGCTTTCCGACATTGTTACAGTTCTGCACAAAGTCACAAACCAACTTAGGATTTGCAAAAATGCAATTATAATAACTTGTCTAGATATAATATTTGCAAGAAGGTGAGCGGGACTACATACCTATGATTAGATAAAAAAAACCTTAAGTAAGTGTCGTATTGACTTTGTCATCTGCTGTTTCTTGCCGCGATTAGCAATATGAAGAAACGACACAAGGAACTTGAACTATGGAGAGAACCCGTCGCCACAGACGGAACGAAGCTCGGGGGCAGGTTCGCCAGTAATTTCCCACCAACAAATGGACCACAATGACTTCAGACAAGAACATACAGCTTCAAAAGAGTTACTTCGCTGAAAAAAGTACATTTGCTGCATTTGCGACTCACATATCGTATCGCTAAACATGTGAAAGAATGGAATGCAAGATAAGATGCTCCTCCGATGTCCAAGTGTCTGTGTAAGTATACATCGAGTAACCTCATCATGGGGCATATTTCGAGATAGTTTCAGACGGCTTTGGCTATTTGGTCGCGATTTTACAAGCGGAGCTGTATCACCTCCTATCCGTGAATTTGCGTAGTAATTGATCGGAAAGCGACATGAGCAGCGCATACAGTTCCGACTGAGAGGGTGTGTGAGGACAATGATGAGCCACAACGCATTAGGTTTTCCCATAATTCCTACCTTATTTCTACTCCGATTCAAATTTCTTCTGTCCAAGACCCTTTTTATTGCAAAATATGTCAATATTTGAAGTATGTTTTAGAAGCCTCAACAACATGTCTTTGGAAGAGGTAACGGGTTGATCAACTGAAAATAGTATGCAATATTGTATTTGCAATTTCTACTCCTTTCATTCACATATTTATGGCAGTGGAAAGAAGGAGTACAGAACAGAACCTAAATTTCTTACGGCTCAGAGAAGCTCGTAAAATTAAAGCTGAACGAGAAAAAATTAAATCAAATCACTTCAAATTGCAGATCTAGCTTTTTCGTAAAGCACACTGATGAATTTATGTAATTTACGTGAATTTTTGTCAATAATTATTCCGTTGATATCAAATTTAATTAGGTTACGACATGAGCGACTACCACTCGATTAATATGCAGCAGGCAGAACAACTATCTCATATGTTTGAAAGAATGCTGCTGAGATGCAGATCAGGAGCCAACCATAGGATGCCAAGCGTTTACCCTTAACTGAAGCCACCGCAAGTAAATTAGAGATAAGAATTGTGGTCAGTAAAAAAAAACAAAATGGTCGAAAACGCGGGAAATGGCTCCCTTTTCTGCCCGATTCATTTCGAATTTCGACTAGTCAACTTAACGCTTTCGGAGCTTTGATGGAGCACGGGCCGCTGAGGCAAAAGGTAATTGTTTGCTTTTTGCAGCGCAAACCTACAACTTTGGACCTAAAACCACGATTGGACTTGACGTGCTCGCAGCCAAAACGTTCCGAGCTGCGAAAGGCAAACAAACTTCCGTCTCAGTGGCTCATACCCTTTCGGTGGGTGTAACATCAGCTTCTCTAAACATTGCGTTAGTAGTGATTCAGTTTACAGTCGCACTGCCGCGACCAAGGTGGCCGGACTTGAAGTGAATGCAAGTAAAACAAAATGGATGTGCAGCAATCTTAACGGACAAAGAAGAGCCAATGGATACGGTATTGAGTTTGCATGGTCTTCGTGTGTTTGACCCAACTCCTACGTTTTCCTCAAGATCGTCGGCAAGAAATCAATTGAAGAGTGGGCGCGTAGAGCATCAACACAGCAGTCCGAACTCAGCTGAGAAGCTTGAATGACGCTGCAAGAAAACCACGATTCCCATATGCACATTTTCCCACACACACCATACTGTATGGATATGACACATGAGTTCTAACTAAAACAGCAGAGAATCACAAAGGAAAATGTCAACGACGAATGGAGCTCTGAATGTTCGGCGTTCGACTTCGCGACAAGGTATCGAACGCGACGACTGACTAGCAAATATGTTACTATGCCATTAGTACCCGTTTTTTTGTGAATTTTACATTGTCATTATTGTGATTTCTCACGTGAGCCTTCTGCTGACGTAATAAACTTATACTTATACTCATATCATATGAATAATCAAGATAAACGTTTAATGGTAAATGTTAATTTAGTTGTACTAGGCAGAAGAATCATCCACACGCCGAAGCGATAGCTGAAATTAGTAGCACTTTAAGGTGAGGCAACTTGAAATGAAAGGCACTTCTGAGAAGAAAATCAGTATGTCATGGGTACCGTGATCTGGATTCCGTGGTACACATTTCTGCACCGATGACTCGGTTGATGAAATGCTTTCTGCCACAGGAAACCCTACGCATCGTCTACACGAAACCTCCTTCACCAGCTCCCCTACCCACCTTTCTGTTCATACACATGAATCTTGTCGCAGGATTTCTGTCTCAACCGAGCAAGCATGAAATCCACTGCAGCCTCTTACTGCGTCAAATAAATATTATACTATAGTGTAGCAATACCTGATCACCAGTCAAAGAGAGTGGAAAAGCAATATAAAGATCGAGCACAAGGGCACATACATCACACCACTGTAATTGTACCGTAATAACGTAGAAGCTATTCTTATAGAACGTTTTCCAGCCCTGGAATGTAGAGTTCAGTCCTGTAAAAAAACCAAAAGAATTTGAGAAGCAATAAAGTTGAGAAGATAACGCGCACTTTGTAGAGGGCCCAACCAAGCAGTGTGTGCAGTACTAGACCGGCTAGTGCTGGAATCAAAATGAGTAGCGAAGCTAGAATTCGCAGTTCAAACGTAGCCTCTACCTCCATAAGACCTGAAATGGAAGCAAACTGAGTAATAGTCTTATTGCGAGTTTAGAGACTGCGGTAGTAGTATTAAGAGTAAGCAGTCATAGTAGCAGTAAAATGATGTATTGGTTGCTTATACAGTGGATAATCGTTGGTTGCGGAACAGATAATTCGAAGCTTTGACAAAATAATAAAGTGTACAAGTTCGCAGTCATTGAGTTTTTACAATCCGAAGTAAAACACACACTTAGGTTTTTTTTTTAAATTTTGTACAACGGTATATTAGTGACAAGATTTATGGGGTGGGTAAACAACTGGTACGAGCCAAATTTTCGCACCCTATGTGCGAAGTGACCTCATTAAGGCTGACGGCTTCAGGGGTCACACACCACCCAGATTTCTCTAATAATCAGGTAAAACGCAATTAATTGAGGAAACTAATCATTCATAATAATAGTTAAAAATACTAGTTTACAAATAAAAATAAAAAAAAAAACAAAATGAAAATTACACAAATTCATAAACATAATACATCCTAACAATAAAATTAAGTCATCGCATTCCCTTTCCACCTCTAACCGTTACGAATGGCCCACTCAATTCGAGGTTGCTCCCTAATAGTGAAGGAATTGCTGGCACTTATATACAGGGGGGGGGGGGCCAAAAAAAAAGACATTTTGCCTCCACTTCCAGATGGATTTAAGCACATTTTACTCAACTCAGACCGAACGGTTCCAACTTATTATTAAAGAGTGCATTCCATTCTATAAGAAAATCTTCATAGTGGCCACGTACGTGGACGGCATCAGAAGAATTAGCCCTGGAAACATCGTGCGTCGTGGCCGAAGGCATGGTGCATACTCATATTTCTTGAAGACTCTCGGGTGGACGGCAGGTGAGGAGGACCTTCTTTATTAAAGAGACATTTAAAGGAATACATCGCTGAGGATGCTCCCATTATACGACGGCACAATTTCTTTCGCTCTCTCGAACGTAATAAAATGGTCTGAAGTGCGACGGATGTGGCCAAAATTGTGCTTTTTAGCCTGCCCCCCCCCCCCTGTATATTCATAGGTTGCGCTGAGGGTGGAAACTGGTGTGGGGCGCGGCAGAAGTATAAACGGGTTAGAGTTCGAAACCTCAGAGAAACTGGAAGGCGCACTAGAAGACATTACGACACAACAAAGTTTGCCAAAGCTCACTGTTGTATGTTGCATCTATGTTAGCTTAAATACCTGCCATAACCTCTCCTCAAGGTGTTTCTTTTTACCAGGGATCCTAGCGAAGTGGTATGGGGGGGGGGTAGCCTGAGCTCCTAAAAAGTCATAGAGGAGGCACCCAACAATGAGGCCATATCATTAACGACTTGCTCCGACGGAGAGGACCAGTCACCGTATGGCAGGGATGAGTTTTCATCACAAAGTATCTGGATCATCCTACTCACCTCAACTTCGCTGTTTGCTTAGTTCTCAAGTTAAAGTCGTTCAGGAATTTCTTGTAGTTTACTTGAATACCTTGCTGTAAGCTTCTAGTTATCTAACCTAGAGTTTAGTATAGACTTGATTGGGTGCATAGCGGCGGTCATTTTAGGATTGTCTTTTCTAGTACTCATTCATGTTCTTTATACCATGTTGTTTTTTGTCTTGTATGGATCTCCAATATTGACCTGCACCGTGGTTTTGTTGGTGTCTGGTGTTGTGACCTAGGCCTGATCTCCCTTGATGCAGGTCACTTCGCAAGCTGATTCGTCCGTAGTATTGCTTTAATTAGGGTGTAGTCCGTACCATTCTTTCACCGTGACCCAGCATTTATTGCAGCCACAGTGAATGGATTAAATGGAGCATCAGAAAGATTCTCATGAGAAGCGGGTCATGGCAGCTCAGGATGACGTTCGCCGAGGAAGTGAGTTTCTGAAAAACACTTAAGGCTCATTTATACATACTGGCGAGCACACTGTGCACCGCAAATTCTGTCTGCCAACTGTTTCTGCAGCCTGCTATAACAAGCGGGGTCGATCGAGAAATACTGCGATGGTGGGACAGGTCGATCATCCAAATCGCATCGAATAAACTTAAGTTACGCAATTGCGGACTCAGTTCTCTCATGGTGCTCATCGTCGAGCAACAAAAGCCGCTGGTATTAATGATACTTAATTAATTGCTTTTTTCTTGCGGAGAGTGTTCAATTTTCCCCGTACTGGTAAGGACTGTGTGCCGCCGTCTGCTGTTAGTTTCATGAGGCTATATCGTTAACATTGTGCTCATTATCGCTTGAACATTGTTTTGCCGTTCTTAGGGAAGCCCATGGCGTATGACTGATGAACTCAAGTCAGAGAGCATGATCAACTTAGCGGTTACCAGACGAACAAAAGCGAATACAATTTCCCTTTGGAGAGTAAGCCACATATTGGTAATGCGTCAGCGGCAGTAATCCTAGTTATTCACGGAGTTACCGTCAGGCGTACGTGTACTCGTGGAATGACACTATGATTAGGGAAGTAATTCTGCACATTTGAGTCCATGGGATCAAATATTTTATACATCAGACTACACATCTTCTTTCTAGTTGGCGGGCCCATTCAGAAGCACATTTGTGCCGTTTGTCGGAGCGGTGATCGAATAGTCATACAGTTTGGATGTCATGGTCGTGTTTTGAATCGACGTAGCTTCATCATCGAGGGTAGCGCGACGCAGTTCCCACAGTGTCACAGGGATCCTCTGACCTATCCCTTCTGATGACCACGCGTTGAGAAAGCCAAGTAAAGCCAGTGCTCTTTGAATGTTGTTAGGCTTCCTCTTGAAAAGTACCGTATACGACTTTTTTCGACTACTATAATTACTAGTGATAGTTACTTCCTAGTTTGGTAACACACAAATTCTTATGAATTATAAATAGTAATAAACATGTAACATTGATAATTGAGCTGTTTGCCGTTCTGAGCTACACAAGAAAAGAGCTGATAGTAGGGGAAGGCTGTTTTTCTCCGCAATTGAAATCAAATCAGTCACGTTTTTCTAAATTCAGACGGACGCTCAACCCCTCTCTTCTCTCCCCCTACCTCCCTGAATACTGACAAACACATTCGTATGTATTAAATGAAATCATGAGAGCTTCTACACGGATGACATCAGAAGAGTCGCCGACTGAGCATGGTGCATGGATCAAGTTGAATGAGTTCCTCGACGGGTCGCGGACCATTACGGAGTTGCCTGAAATGCTGGTCAAGAAGAGTCTCTGACACTCAGAGTTGAAAATCTCTGAGAAACTGTCTCCCTGTGAATTAATTGAGAAATCATGCAGCAGCATGAGGCTGTAGCGATAATGGTAGGCTTACCAAAGCTGGACGACGATGCCGGACATCTCCATATTCCGAATAAGCTTACTTAGCGAATGGCTCATTTCAGCATAACAACTTTGACGGCATACTCCATTCTCACGTGATAGGGAAGCTGGATGGGAAGGTTCTTCTCTCTTCTTCTTTGGCCTCCCATGGAGGCACTGGTTGGAGAGCACCTATTCTGCCTCTATTCGAAACGCATCGTGGTGTTTCCCGTAAAGAAATCTTCTACTGAAAATCGTGATTCTATCTCCCCCATGAATCACTGGCTTAAAGGCAGAGTCCGCGACCGAACTAATATAATTTTGCGCTTGCAAGTGACCATGGAGATGTTAGAGTGGATGGTAATGAAAAAAGGGAAGAAACTGTTGATAAGGACGAAAATAAGGCCCCGTCCCTAGTAGCGGCGAAGTGAAATAGCATTATACATAGCGAAAATAGCATAGCATTTTGTGGGCGGGCTCAATGGTATGGGCGAGGTCAATGCTGCCCTCTTAGCGCCTCGGAATTGTCAAATCATCTGAAAGTTGTGCTTCTCGCTTGCGTGCCAGCGCATTTTTCTCGGGCTCGGAGGAAGATTTAATTTCGATCAGAAGTCCCGGACACTGCCTTGAAGGCCCTCCATTCACGATAACAGCGAAAAAGAAAAAAACGTCTGTTTTGGAAGACCGTTCAAAAAATCTCATGGACCGTTACGCGTATGAACTA